GAAAAACTAAGAGATATTAAAGATAGAATACACAGAGAGGTAGGAAAGTACTGTGAGAGTATGAAGGACAGAGGTTCCACCTTGAAAACCCAGGAAAAGTTTAATGCTTGAAAACTTTAATACTTAATACCTTTAAGTCTTGAACTTAATGGCTGGTAGGAGTGTAGCAGGCAAGCTGGCAGGGAAAGGGAACGTAATTTCATGCACAGAAAAATACACACACACACACAAACACACACACACACAAATGCATAGATGCTTGAATAAAATTGACAACTGTGATCCAAGAATACTGTGCAGTCTGGAGTGTCTGGAGAAAATGCTGTTTAAAGGAGATTCACAATGGCCAGTGTCCAAAGGCAACCAAAGGTCAAATCAATGAGTATCTTTGAGGGGCACATAGCACCATTTCCTCCTACTTTACATGTGGGAAAACTAAATCAAGCTCACACAGATTAAGTGAGAACCCCCAGGTCAGGGCTTCCCATCGGGGAGCTCTTAATCTTTTCTACATTCTTCCCACTCAAGGGAAGCTCTGAGATTACTTAGTTTGAAGGTCTTAGTGTTTGGCAGAGTCAGTTAAAAATTTTAAAAGTCAGTGAGACTGGGAAGTAGGTAGGATATGAATTCAGGATCAAGTGTGCTTTTCTGATTGGTTATGATCCAGTGAACAACTAGATATTTAACATTAAAAGTAAGATTATCCAGCAAATAGAAACGTGGGAGTCCTCTGTACATAGGGGTAGGTATATTTGCAGGCATAAATGAGGCTGTAGCAGTAACATCCTCCATAAAGTTGGACAGAAACTCAAAGCCAAGAGGAAGTATCTTGAATTCCAGGTCTCAGAAAAGAGTCCTTTTATTCAGGAGATAGATGCTATTATTTCAACCTTTCAGGTACAGAAGCTAAATCTTAGTGAGGCTGTGACTTACCCAAGGTCACACTGGTATAATGCAAAGGTGGGATTCAAAGGAAATTTAGGTACCATGAGATGAAAATGGAACAAGACTGAATGCTGACTACCCAGAAACCATTCCAATACTCACTCTGTCAACGCCCAACACTCAGAATATGTCAACAGTTAAAGTTCATGTCCTCCATCCTAAAGTCCACTAGAGTTGAGCTGGGCATATAATGGGGAAAAGAAAGCCCTACACTGCAAATCAGAAGAACTAGGTCCCAGCCTGACCTTGGCCATGCTTGCAGTGCAGCTGTGGCCAGGTCATTTCCCCTGTGTGGTCTCAGGTCTCTCAGTTTATGGAAGGCTATAGGCTCTCAGGTCTCTGCACTTGGCTGTGCGTTGGGGGTTTCCGTTAGACCCCAAGCTCCGTCCACCATGGCTGGCAGCTTCTATTTCTCTCTTTGCATTGCCTTTCCTCCCTTCCACTCATACCAGCCATTCCAGCTCTGGCTCTCCAGCCAAGGGCCGGGTGTGGATAGTTTGAAAAGACATATGGCATCCCAGTGCAGACGAGAGTCCAATCTCGAGGGGAAACCATTGTTCATTCATCTGGACCGAGTGACATTCTTTATGCAAGAATAACTCTTGATTAAAGGGTGAGTTTTAATGGAAACTAATTAGGCAAACTCTTTAGCCTGGGCATAATGATCAAATGAGCTGTCACACCATACCTGATACAATGATCTCACTCGCTACAAGATTTTATTCCTTAGCAATTACACTCCCACATGGCACTGCGTGCCGTTATTGCCTGGAGCACACATGTCAAATTAAAGAGCAACTTATGCACCTGATATTTAATTATTGCCTAGTACTACAGACACCCGGGGAATGTCAAAGTGAGCAGTCCTGCTTGGGAGAAACGAAAACTGAAATCTTCTTCTGCTAAGGAGTGAAAAAAATAAGGATAAAATATGTATAGGCTACTATAGTTTCTTATCCAGCCGTCTTACAATTCACAATTACAAAACCTTCTCTCCCCAACCTTGAATAATTCACCAATTTTTTTCCTCATCCAGGAAAGTCAGCAGAAGAAGGGCTGTAGGTGAAGGCGCCAGACTCTATTGGCATTTGTTTACTTCTGGGACTGATGTGGTCTGGATTTGGCCAAAGTTGAGCCCTTCCTGTAAGTGGTTCTTTTCTTAACAGGCTTTGACAGGGAAGAGGGTGTCTCCTGTGTTGCACCAGCCCAAAGAGAACTAATTGCCCTCTGGGTTGAGCACTCAGATAACGCCCTCTTGCACTTCAGTTACACTTGGTAACAAATTTAAAACTTGTCCAAAGTCCCCCCAACTCCCCCAACACCCCCCTCCGCCACCCATGCAGTTGTTCAGAAGCTGGGAAGGTGAGATGCCCCTGAGATGTCAGGCTCAGTTTCAACTTTGTGCATCTCTTCAAACCAAACACACTGGTACTTGGAGTACCATTTCAGACTAAGTACTTTAAAATCTAGCAGCATCTATTTCTCTCCTTGCATTGCTTTTTAAAGCCTCCCAGATGGCTCTGGTGTGGAAGTTGGGTTGAGCACCGCTGGTTTGGAGAGCAAATAGCTAGACATAGGGGGGCACTGAGGGTCATGGGGCTGCTTTCTGAAATGACAAGCGCTCATAATTCAGTGCCTTAGCAAATGCTGCCCTCTCCCCTGGCATGGCTTGGAAAGACTACATTTATCCTTCCATGTCAAGTACAGGTGTCACTCTCTCCTGATTTCCTCAGGAAGAGTTAGTTGGCTCAGTTAACTGCTCCATCAGGAGCCAGACACAAGGCTTGCTTCTCAAAGGATCATTAAACCAAACTGCCCTCCTCTGTGGGGGCTCAAGAAGGGAATCCCTATGTCTCCAGCAACCATCTGTGTCCCCCAGCTGAGCAAATTCTGAAAGCGTCTTGGTCTCTTTCGCTCCAGATAAAGAAATTCAATTACCGGTTATCAGAATTGCACTGCCTAATACTAAAAGGCCTTAATAAGAATGCTTTGTATTTAGTAAACTGCACAGCTTGTGAAAACCCCCTCCAAACATCTGGCAGGAGGCCCAGCAGAGGTAAGGCTGGAACCTCTAATGATGGCAACATGTAAACAACTGTTTTGTTTCAACTGATAGTCATTAACTTTCAGTGTCAGCCTCATCCCCAGAGGTCTGTTTCCTCAGCCTTGCAGGGGCTTCTTGGAAACAGCAGCTGGGGTAGGGCCTGTGTACACCCAAGGAGGAAGGAGAGGAAGTCAGAATGCTCTGATGAAGGAGAGCAGACCTATGTTCCTTTTAGGGACTTGGACACAAGGTGACTATTGACTCTCCACTATGTTACTGGCTTGTCCTTTGACCTGGGGCAGCAAACCACAGTTGGTCTGTCACGATCTCTACTTCATGTGACAGTTGTGCGAAATCTCTAACGAAATGTGCTAACAAGGGTCCTGACACAGCATTGCCTTAAAGAAGGCTGTGGGTAAGGAAATGAATTTCTCCTAACTGGGGTCTAGACAGGTTGGAGGACTCTTATCTAAACTTGGTAAAGGCTATTATTTATCCCACACTCACCGGCCTGAAGTTTGCGATGTTTCTGTACATGCACACTTGAATACAAACTCGTATGGGACAGCTGGATCTTTCCCCCTGCTGACCATTCATGACAACTGGGCCCAAGCAATCTTCCATGCTCTAACTCACATCCAAATAACAATTCACTCCATCACTAACCATTAACTGAATAAGCAGTGTGTCACTAGCACCGTGCACCCTGAGATGACATAGAAGTGGCTTGGCTTCTCTGAAGGTGGATGCGGAGGCGATATTGGTAGCAGGAAGATATTCAGGAACGTGTTTAGGATCCCACCTGCGAACAGGAGGTATTATGGACTGAACTGTGTTCCCCTAAAACTCATGTGCTGATACCTTAACCCCCAATGCAACTATATTTGGAGATACAGCCTTTAAGGAGGTAATTAAGGTTACATAAGGTCATACAGGGGCCCAATCTAATAGGTCTGGTGTCTTTCAAAGAAGAAGAGACCAGAGGGAGACCAGAGATCTCTCTCTCCACACATGCACAGAGAAAATACCATGTGGGGATGCAGTGAGAAGGTCGGGAAGAGAGGCTCCATCAGAAACCAACCCTGCTGGCCTCTTGCTCTGGGACTTCCAGCCTCCAGAACCAGGAGAAAATAAACCTTTGTTGTTTAAGGCACTGATGATACCCTGTTAAGGCAGACCAATACAAGAGGCAAAGGAAGCAGGAAAGATTAGAGGCAGACACCGGGAGTTAATGCAGGCCCGACACAGACCTCAGCTGACCCCTCAGAAGCTCCCAAGCTGGGATGGCCATTCAGTCACTGGAGGTTGAAGTGTGGGCCTGGATGGGCACTCAGGGCTCCTGGATTCGCAGACCCTGGAAGCAGCCGCCCCTGAAAAGAAGCTTCGCCCTAGAGGGGCAGTCACCTTCCACTGAGGCCATCCCAAGAAGGCCGGCAAGACTCGATGCTTCAGTCTCATCACAAATGGGAAGCAGCGAACTCTGCCATTTGGCCAGCACCCACCATGTGCCAGAAGCACCACTCTCATCATCCTGTTTGATCTGCACATTGCCCCCATGAGGTGATACTGATTTCACGCGTCCAAAGCCACAGAGCCGACAAATAACAAAGCAGGAATTGAAGCAGCCGCTTTTTCCCAGTGACCTGCTCTGACCTTGACTTCGTACTGCCTTCCCATAGGAAATGGAGAAGATTCCCCGCAAGAAGCACTCCCTGTCCATCCTCCTCCAGAAGTCAACTGTCCCCACGGCATCCATACATCTCTCTTCAAGGCCTGCATCACTTTGCCTTGTAACGTTCCTATCAGTCGATACTTATTTATCATTACCTTGTCCCAGGCACCGTTTTTCATCGACGATTCATCTAATCTTTCCAATAATACTCGGAGGTATTATTTTCACCATTTATTTTATTTTATTTTACTTCTTGGAACAAGAAGGAATTTGTTGCTAGTCTCAAGAAATCCTCCAACTTCCCAAGTAGCTGGGACTACAAAGGCACACCACCCCCACCCCAAGATCATTCCCATTTCATTAATGAAAACGCTGTGATTAAGTAACTTGCCCAAAGAGGCCCAGCCAGGATTCGAATGTAGGAGGTCCAGTGGAGAATGTGACCGAGACTTGATCATCTTTTCCACCCGAGCTTTACTTGGGACTGATTCATACTCGGTTCTCCGAGAGAGTTTTCCAAAATACTGAATGACGCCTTTCATTTTGAAAATAATCCTGCTTGACTTATACAGACAGAGCCTGGAAGAAAAGACAGACATATAAAATCTATTTTCTCTATTTGGACATTGAGATAATGGGCAAATTTTAATTCCTCATATCTGGAAATTAATAGACTATTGTTGGGTTTTTGCCTTTAAGACAAGGTTTTGAAATCATGATCTTCCTGCCTTGGCCTCCCAAGTACCTGGGATTATAGGTGCATGCTACTGTGCCTGGCACTCAGAATACTGTTTTCCTATTGCTGATATGAGAACAGATATCTGTTGCTCTCATGATTCCATTGCTACTGGGATACGGGCTTCTCTTGGCCCTTGCGACCCAGTTCATATCCCAAGCATCACAGTATGGCAATATCTTTCCAGGGATTTCATAACAAATATTACATGAAAAGATCAAAACTCCCATTACCACTACAACTCAGAGGTGACATTTAAAGTGAAATCCAAAAACAAGAAGTAGTCAATGTCTTGACAGTCTGGGAGAAGAACATTTCAGACAAGGGGGAAAGTGGGTGCACAGTCCCCGAGGCAGGACAAAGTTTGCTCGTGTTCCCTGGAACAGAAAGTAGGCCATTGTGGTTGGGGTGAGTGAGTGATGGTAGCAATGGAGACTGGAAGAATAAGGCCTGGGGAGTAGGAGGGAGAAGTCACACTACCCACGTGCTTACAGGGGTAAGGGGTTTGACTTTTATTTCCAACCTAATGTGGACCCAGTGGAGAACTGTAAGTAAGAAGGAACTGTAGTATGACTTAAGGGGTTAAAAGGTCATTTTGGTGGTCAAATGAAGAACAATTATAGGTAGCAGAAATGGAGGCAGGGAGACTCAGATCACTTTTTCTTGGGTGTCATGCCCAGCGATTTCAGTCCTGTTCCCATGTTGTGTTCCAGCTCAGCATCCCAGACTCCCTAGATCCTCGCACTTGTTCCCTAAGCTCCCCAAAGGCTCACCTGTCTTGCTGTTAGCTGCTTTGACCATCCCCACCAGCCCAGACTGTTTCTGACTCAGGGGGATGACTGGGATCACCAAAAGGCAGTGGTTGGGCTCGTAACAGTCACTTGAAAATCCAAGCACTTTGCAAGATCCACAAAGGCAGAACAAGAGTTGGCCTCATTCGTCAGGCAGAGCAGGAGCTCCACAGACACTGGTGGGGTGAAGTGCTGCCTGGAGCAAAGCTGTCCGTGGGTCCCTTCCTGGATCAGCTGGAACCCAGTAGGGCTGCCAGGGTGATTCATTAGCAGCCTGATGTCACACATCTGCAAGTAAGTAATTTTTATTTTTAACTGTTGCCTTCCAGCCGTAACAAGTGGTCAAAACTTTGTTTTATTATGAAGTTGATTATGCACAGGTAGAGACCTCACAAAGGGGTAGTGACAATGAACGATGCTGAGGGAGCCCACGCTGCACCCAGGTCAGCCTCAATATCCATATGGAATGGATCCAAATAGACCAGGGATAGGCACTTTTAGAGGGCAAGTTCATCCCTTCCGGTGAACGCAAGGTTTCCGGCAGACTAGGAGGTGTTTCTGGGAGCTGTTGCCATCCTACAGCATCCTAGTACCGCTGGACTCAAGACAGAATTGAAGCTTGGTTAGAATTAGATCTAGAAGAAAGTCATTTCTTTGAATATTTTTTTCATCTTCTTATCTTCTTACTCTATCATATCTCTGTATAATACGCAATAGTTGATTCTACTTTTATTGAAGTTTTTTTAAAGGAGGCCACCCCTCATGCCTGGGCCTGGCAATGGGGGAATAAAGGATTTTAGAGGATTGGCACAAGGTTTGAATTTATAGACTAGAGTTATGCTATCATATTTTCCACTGAGCTATGTTTCCCTAAATCATTTAGATCACCTCTGAGTCTCAGTTTCCTCATTCATAAAATAGAAGCACTAGATTTCCCTTTTTGGCAGGGTTTTTCTAAAAGTTAAAGCATAAAAATGACAGCACTTGTAGAAACTTAGTTTTAGGTACTCTGTGTGTTAATCCATTTAAACCCATCAACACTCCTTCATGGTGGGTGCCAGTGACACTCAGTTTGTAAAATGCTGACCAAGAGGTGAGGAGGTTGGCTGGAGGTCACAGAGCTGGTTAAGGAAGGAGCCAGGACTCAAGCCCAGGCAGCCTGAGTCCAGGGGAGAAGAACCAGCCTAGTACTCAGGAGTGGAATCAACTTCAATAAGTGGTAGCGCTGTTGAGCTTTCCGTAAGCCAAGGGCCAGCTCTATGCACAAACCTTTGTTACCATTCCCCAGACCTTGGATATGGCCTAAGGTCCTTATGAAAAAGGAGTAGAGAGGACACTGAAGGCCTCAGAAAAGGGGAGCCAGGGTATGGCCCTCCCAGAAGTTGGATCCCCAGCTCTTACAGGGGAAGTTAGAGCCCATCCCTGAGAGCAGGATTGAAACAAGAATAGAAGGAAATTGACACCGAAAAAGAAGACCATAGCATGGACTCCTGGACACCACGGCATTCCTAGGCCCTTCTGGACTAGTGCTGGGATTCAGATGAATAAAGCACAGAGGGAAAAATCCAGGAAGCTCACCCTGAAATGAAGCTTAGACTGAAAAAGCAATGGAGCCTGGTTCCATTTGCCCAAGTTTTCTTCTTAGACGTCACCCACCATGTTGTCTGCTACAGCTCCATGACGTAACAGAGGTTCAGACAGGGCTAGGGAGCCAGAGCACTGCCTTGGCCCCCGAGGGTCTGTGGCTTATCCCCAGTTAGAGCCTCCTTCTGGCCTTAGTGTTCCCTTGTGTAAACTGAGAAGGTCAATTAGCCAAATTTTAATGTCTCCAACATCTAGAAAATTCCAAGTCCCCAAGCCTCACTTCACCTACAGCCTCAGGGCAGAGCGATTTCACTTAGGTCAGAGGATTCCCTGCACATAAACAAGAGTGAAACAAAGGCCCCCTTTCTCTGAGTTGTTAGCGCGCGAGAGCACGCGCGCACACACACACACACACACACCACCCACACTTGTAATGCTTATACGGCCCACCCCCCACCCCAGTCATGCACAAAGACACACAGGCGGGCTGAGGCACAAACACCTGGACTCTCTAAGCTGCTCCTTCCCCCACCCCCAGTCCCAGCCCCCAACTCCCCTGCTGGGAAGCAGAGGGGGCCCTGTGTTCCACTGCCTGTTACCTAACCTGATGGGCTGGTGCCACCCAATGGTCAGGATTAGAAGTGCAGCCTTGGCTCCAAGACCCAAACATGATTGGACTGAGCCCAGAGCCATTTGATCCATCTCTCTCCCTTTCTTGAAGCTGAATCCAAAGCTACTCTAGATACATCAGTCTGTCTGTTACCTTACAATCCTTTAAATAACTTTCCTTACATGACACCCCTAGTTTTTTCTAAAGGTCACGGGGTCGCCACTGACACTTGGAGCGGCCTGGTTGGGCTAAACAAGAGCCTAAATGTGATGGGTGTGAACTGTGTGTGCTGGACACCATTCTAGAAGCTTTCTCTGTGAACTTTTCGATATTCACACTTACTATCTACCACAGGATATGTATTACTGTCTTCTTTTGAAAGGGCTACAATCAAGAATGGAGGATTCTAAGACGTGACTCTGCCTCTAACCCCAAAGGTGCTGCTTTTTTCAGCAGCCATTTGGCTCATCCAAATTTGTGCATGAGAGGCTGTAATCATTCATTCGGTCATTCATCCCTGTGGCCGGCACTGACTGAGCATCTATAATAGGCCAGGATCTACACTAGGAGCTGAGAACTCAGCATGCACTAGGGTCTGACCCTTGCTGTTAAGTAGTTCCCAGCCTTCCGGGATCAATAACCTTCATGTCCTCCTAAGCCCTGACTTTAGAACTTTACTTCTTTGCCAAATCCAATAAAGGTCTTGAGGAGAGGCCCCGGGGAGAAAAGTGAACAAGCCGTAACCCAGAGTGAGAAGGGCATCCAGTCCTCAGAGGAAGCGGGCTGTCAGTGTCCTCGCCCAAGCGTCCCCTGATCCACACCGTGGAAGTCTGGAACTGCCTCAGTGCAGGGCCCAGACACACCTGAGAAGGAAGGCAAGATCTGTGGTCATCTGGCTTCACAGCAGTGTCCTTTGTGCCACAACAGGGAGGGCAGAGCAGAAGGGGCCCAGTGGTGAGAATTGGGAAATAAAATGACAGAACAAAGCTTTAGTTACAATTCTACAGCTCGTCATTCTGACATCTGCTGCCTCTGTGACTGGACTCCACCTTGTATTCCTTGTCCTCTCTCTCCCTCTCTCTCTCAATATTTCTTCAGATTCACACTGTTCCTGTTCCCAATGCCCAAAACACCCCACAGTTTATCAGTTCCTACTCATTGGTCTTTTTCTTACTAAATAATGGACAAAGAAATAGAATAATGGAATCCTGGAATTTCATTCATGTTTTCTACTGAAAAAAAGATCATCCAGCCTAAACTTTATGGATGAGGGAAATAGCCTCACAAAGACAGAAAGACTGGTCCAAGATCACAGAACCAGTACATAGCATAGTACGGCCAATAGAATAACTGGATCTAGAATTCAAGTTCCCTATTTGAATATGAAGACCATTGTTCTATTTTTCTTTTTCTTTTACACCTGTAGTTATTTTAGTATATGTGCTGCTGAGGCAAGCACTTGACATCTGTTATTAAACACTGATGAGTCTACTCCAATTCTGAAATATCTTTTTATCCTTCTTCTCCTAAGTCCTCAGTTCAAACCCCACTAGAATAGAATATGTCACTTGAAAACAGAAAACATCTTCACCTTTTCCAAAGTCTTAATTCTAGCACAATGATTAACACGTAAATGCTTATGACAGAATGGAAGCATGGATGGACAGATGGACGCATAGAATGACGGGAGGATAGATGGGTGGACATGTGGAAGGCTGTTCTATAGTGGATGTTTTATACTTTACATTTGGTCTTCCTGTCTCCAACTACCCCACAAATTTGGCCTATTGTTCACAGTGATATTAGAGTGACCTAATAAGTGAAAATAAAACTGAATCATTCTCTTCCCTGTGCAAAAGTATTTGAAGACTTTTCTATCATCTAATGGGCGAGTCAAGACCAATTACCATACATTGCTATCTATATGGGTCTTTTACCTACCACAGCAATCCCACATGCTACTCCCATAAAAAGGACACATATACATACCCTAAATTGAAGAACAATCCAACAATTTGGCATTCTGTGAGTAAGGCAAACATGCTCTCATCTCCAGGACTTTTCTTGTGCCATTCCCATATCCTGCAATTCCTCTCCGATCAGTGCCAGAATCAGTTAAAATCCCAGGCTTCCATCAAAGCCCAATTCAAATGCTGCCTCTAGGCAGTCCTTTCAATCTCATGATGAGTTTGCTGTGTTCAGAGCATGTGGTCCCTCTGGCTTTGGTAAGCATGGTCTACCTCTCTGCCCTTCTTGAGTGATATTTCAAGACCTTTACTTGGACATCATAGTTGGACATTTTCTGTTCATCTCTTCCAACACAGTCTCAGCCACAGACCTGACACACAACACAGCAAGTGCTTATTTAGTATTTTTGAAATGGATGTTCTTGTTGTACCATGAAAGTTTAATTATATTTCATTCTAAAACCACTGAAGCTACTTTCTAGATCATAATAGACAGGAGCCCTACAGGAACTGTGAAGAGTGTCTCTAGAGAGCCAAAACTGTAGGGCAGGTATAGAATTGGATTGCAGAGATAAAAGTGATGCATAAACAAAAGGATATCTCTTAGGGACAAAGGGTACCCAGGAAAAAGAACTGGCTGTCATGGGTGGGAGTTTTAAGGCATCATATTTGGAATCACACGAAGATATTTTGTATGATGAGAAATGTGTAGCAAAAGAACAGTCAGCCCGGAGATAGTGAAACTTCTAGTCTTGCAGATATCTAAGTAGTGGCTGAGGACAAGTCGGAGGGTTTGGGATAATATATGGAGAATGGCAACAAGGATCAAATCATGTTCATCTCCAGCACTGAGTATCTATGATATCATCAAACCTCCAGGACTGGCCCAAGCAAAATTACCAAAAGCTAGAGTTGACTTTTATGGCTCAATATCTACGCTTTATTTTAATGCCCCTTCCCACCCTGAGCCTCCAAGATTTCTGTCATAATGTTGCTGGGGATAGATGATATTCTTAGTGCACCAGTGTTCCTCTCAGATACCTTTAGCCCATCTTTAGGTCATCTGTGTCTTGGTGAACAGTTCTTACATACACTAACCTTCCAGATAATCCCAGTGTGGTAGAGGCCCAGAGGCCAGCAGCAGTAACTCACTCACTGTAACACAACTTTCTTTAGTGTCTGTAGAAGCTACTGTGGAGCTTCAACTCAATTGGCTTTGCAATCTGCCCTGGGGGTTTGGTGGGCATATTGAGTGGGTTATGGAAACACATGGCCTTGGGTCCTACTCTGGCCCCTCATCCCTTCTGCTCTGGCACTCTTCCCTTTGTTTGCTTTCCAGCTGCTATAAATTAAGCAGCTATTCTCTGCCAAGCCTTCCTGCCACAATATCTCTGTCTTTGAGCCAATAGACCATAGATCGAACCCTTGAGCAAACTAATCTCCACCTTTAGCTGTGGGTGTTGGGTACTGTGTCCCAGCAACAAGAAAGCTGACTAATATGTAAAAATTGGTATCTTATTCACTTCCCCACTATTTGTTGTTCATGAGATCACTTCCCAAACAACTTACTGGCAACCAAATTTTTGCCTCACGGTCAGCATTGTGAAATTCAACCCACTCTTTATAGTGAAGGACCAAACTTCAGACTTTGCGGTTGTGCAGCACTAGATAGAGAACCCAGTTTAAACTTGGGCAAACTAATAAACCTATATGATCTCATTTCAACATGTGAATAGAGGTTTAAAAATTCTACCTTCCAGATTTCATGGCATTGTGACAAAGATCTCTATAGGAATTATCTCAAGATGAAAACATCCTAAATTACCCAGGTAAGCCCTAAATCCAATGTCAAATGTCTTTAAGAGAGACAAGAGAGAAGACTCAGAAGAAAACTCCTGTGGATGAGGAGATAGAGATTGGAATTATGCAAACACAAGCCAAGAGGAACTCCTTGGACCACCAAAGCTTAAAGAGGCAAACAGGAATTCTCCCCAAGACTTTCTAGGGAGGTGATCACTAATGACATCTTGATTTTAGAACTCTGTTCTCTAGAATTGTGAGGGAATCCATTTCTGTTACTTTAAAGAACCAAATGTGTGGTGATTCCTTATGATATCTCAGGGTATTAACATCCTTGGTTAGTAAGGTATTAATGTTAAAAAGGTATTAATGTCCTTGGTTTATAGATAAGACTTGTAGAAAAGTGAGTTACCCAGGGTCACTCAGTCAAAATATGGTGGAACTTGGATTCAAACCCAGGTCTGCCTGAATTCACAACAGCCACTCCTAATCACCCTATCAGGGGAAATAAATGGTACACTATGCCTAGCACAATACCAGGCATATGATAGATGTTCCGAAAGTATTAATTTGTTCATTTGATTCAAACTTCCTATCTGCCATTCTATATACTGACCTTTACCAGGTGGTCAAGAGTTAACCAGACAACAGTATTCCTGTTAATCCAAGACCTCGTGCATCAACCTTCCTGGAGTAGGCTGGTACCTGGGATACAACTATGCACGTCTAGAAGGTCTTTAAGAGTCGACTTGTCTGGTAAGTATTTCAGCACCATGGCAGCTGCTGAAAAAGATAGATTGGGGACTGTGCCTTGAGTTAATGTCAGTCTGAATTGAAGATGTGCCAGCCTCATCAGGACATATTCTTTAATTAACCTGCTAATCCTGTCAGGGATTGGGTTCACTTTCTCCAGAAATGTGTTATGTGTCTTTTCTTTCACCACTTTGTCATTTGCTCTATTTTAGATTCAAGGTGTCCTTTAAGCTGTACTTCAAAAGACTCTCTGTCCTCCAAGTCAACAGCTGTTGAAAAAGTGGCCTCTCAAATGCTATTTTATTTCTCAACCATCACATCTTTTCACCCTGTGCCTGCACATAGCAAGAAATAAAACAATTTTGATGCAATAAATACATATTAAATAACTGTTGTGAGCCTGGTCTTATCCTATGCATTGCTCTTTAAGTAGAAAAATGTGTGAATAAAAGCCAGATCTTGTTTGTAGGCACTTGCTTTTGGGCCTGGGGGTGGCAGTTAAAATAAATCAGATGACTGTTGTGTTTCCGAATATCTTCACTTTATGGTAAGCACAAAAATGATAATAATTTTAAAGGTAGATGGAGGTAAATTTATAAGGCTGTTTGAAGCCTAAAGGAATGAGCCCAGGAGCCCTAGGTCTCCAGGACCTACCAAATGGCTACACAGACAGTAGCTCCTGTCCCAGTCCATTTCTGCTGCTGTAACTGAATAACATAGGCTGACTGGTTCATAGCAAATAAGTTTATTCAACTCATAGTTCTAAAGGCTGCAAAGCTTAAGGTGTAGTAGCCATATCTGTGAAGTCCTAGGTGGTAAAGACACTGCAGAGGTGGATCAGGGTATCACAAGGCAAAGAAAAATATCCTCAGGTGTGTCCTCTTCCTTTTTTTTTTTTTTTTTTTTTTTTTTTTTT